ATGCAGGGGACACGGGTTCATGCCCCGGTCTGGGAAGATCCCACATGCCATGGAGTGGCTGGGCCCATGAGCCACGGCCGCTGAGCCTGCGTGTCCAGAGCCTGTGCTCCGCAACGGGAGAGGCCACAACAGTGAGAGGCCCGCGTACCAAAAAAAAAAAAAAAATCTAGGAATAAACCTACCTAAGAAGACAAAAGACCTGTATGCAAAAAATTATAAGACACTGATGAAAGAAATTAAAGATGATACAAATAGATGGAGAGATATACCATGTTCTTGGTTTGGAAGCATCAACATTGTGAAAATGACTCTACTGCCCAAAGCAGTCTACATATTCAATGCAATCCCTATCAAACCACCACTGGCATTTTTCACAGAACTAGAACAAAAAATCTCACAATTTGTATGGAAACACAAAAGACCCTGAATAGCCAAAGCAATCTTGAGAAAGAAAAACGGAGCTGGAGAAATCAGGCTCCCTGACTTCAGACTATACTACAAAGCTACAGTAATCAAGACAGTATGGTACTGGCACAAAAACAGAAATATAGATCAAAGGAACAGGATAGAAAGCCCAGAGAAAAACTCATGCACATATGGTCACCTTATCTTTGATAAACGTGGCAAGAATATACAGTGGAGAAAAGACAGCCTCTTCAATAAGTGGTGCTGGGAAAACTGGACAGCTACATGTAAAAGAATGAGATTAGAACACTCCCTAACACCATACACAAAAATAAACTCAAAATGAATTAAAGACCTAAATGTACGGCCAGACACCATCAAACTCATAGAGGAAAACATAGGCAGAACATTCTATCACATAAATCACAGCAAGATCCTTTTTGACCCACCTCCTAGAGAAATTGAAATAAAAACAAAAATAAACAAATGGGACCTAATGAAACTTAAAAGCTTTTGTACAGTAAAGGAAACCATAAACAAGATGAAAAGACAACCCTCAGAATGGGAAAAAATATTTTCAAATGAAGCGACTGACAAAGGATTAATCTCCAAAACATACAAGCAACTCTTGAAGCTCAATATCAAAAAAACAAACAACCCAATCCAAAAATGGGCAGAAGACCTAAATATACATTTCTTCAAAGAAGATATACTGAATGGCAAAAAGTACATGAAAGAATGGTCAACGTCATTAATCATTAGAGAAATACAAATCAAAACTACAATGAGATAGCATCTCACACCAGTCAGAATGGCTATCATCAAAAAATCTACAAACAATAAATGCTGGAGAGGGTGTGGAGAAAAGGGAACACTCTTGCACTGTTGGTGGGAATGTAAATTGATACAGCCACTATGGAGAACAGTATGGAGGTTCCTTAAAACACTAAAAATAGAACTACCATATGACCCAGCAATCCCACTACTGGGCATATACCCTGAGAAAACCGTAATTCAAATAGAGTCATGTACCAAAATGTTCATTGCACCTCTTTTTACAATAGCCAGGATATGGAAGCAACCTAAGTGTCCATCAACAGATGAATGGATAAAGAAGATGAGGCACATATATACAATGCAATATTACTCAGCCATAAAAAGGAACGAAACTGAGTTATTTGTAGTGAGGTGGATGGACCTAGAGATTGTCATACAGAGTGAAGTAAGTCAGAAATAGAAAAAGAAATATCGTATGCTAACACATATATGGAATCTAAAAAAAGAAAAAAATCAGAAGAACCTAGGGGCAAGACGGGAATAAAGATGCGGACCTACTAGAGAATCGACTTGAGGATACGGGGAGGGGGGAAGGGTAAGCTGTGACAAAGTGAGAGGGTGGCATGGACATATATACGCTACCAAACGTAAAATAGATAGCTAGTGGGAAGCAGCCGTATAGAACAGGGAGATCAGCTTGGTGCTTTGTGACCACCTATAGGGGTGGGATAGCGAGGGTGGGAGGGAGGAAGATGCAAGAGGGAAGAGATATGGGCCGTATGTATATGTATAACTGATTCACTTTGCTATAAAGCAGAAACTAACACACCACTGTAAAGCAATTATACTCCAATAAAGATGTTAAAAAGAAAAAAAAACATGTCAAGAGAGTGAATGTATATTATTATGGACAGAATAAACGCACTGGATTATGCAGCGGACAGGGACGTGACATTGCCGTGATTTGGAAAGATTCCCAAATTCCTTCCCCACTTCCTACCTTCTCTGCTTGGTTGTTGATGATGACCAGATGAGCACACTCCTCAGCCCAGTGATTCTTGGCCTTGACCCAGAAGTCTTTGCTTGTAGAAAAGTTATATCAGGAGACACCAAATTCAAGAAAGTCCTTGGGGCAGAAGTCTCAGGAGACTCCTTGGGGATGGGAAACAGGTCAGCTCTGCTGGGACTGGTAGCTGTGCTGGCCACTGAATCGAGCCTTCAGTCAGGCAAAATGGTTTGAATACAACCCACCTCCTGCATCCTTGACACTTTGCAACAGGGAGCACGCTAGCTTCCCATGTATCCATTCCAGAGATGGGCATTATCAGAAGGTAACATAATGCAATGTAGCATGCCTCAAACTTTGTGTTAACATCAACTATAATGGGGGCAGGGGGGAGGCATTGGTTAAAATGTCCATCACACACTGACATACTGCCAGGACTGGTACTGGTAACCGTGGTGAAGAAAACCCAATATCTGTCTCCCGAACCTTACTCCCCATCATTCAACTCTGTCCCCTGACTGCTTACCATTACCTGCCCACACATACTCCATCTGTTGGAACATTTCTCCCAAATGATGTCCCATTTACATCCAGCATCTGCCAGCTCTTGTAAGACTAACAGACTCATGAAGAAAAGCTGGTTAAGAACCAGGAAGGAGGGCCTCCCTGGTGGCACAGTGGTTGAGAGTCCGCCTGCCGATGCAGGGGACACGGGTTCGTGCCCCGGTCCGGGAGGATCCCACATGCCGTGGAGCGGCTGGGCCCGTGAGCCATGGCCGCTGAGCCTGCGCGTCCGGAGCCTGTGCTCCGCAACGGGAGAGACCACAGCAGTGAGAGGCCTGCGTACCGCAAAAAAAAAAAAAAAAAAAAGAACCAGGAAGGAGAAAAGGTTGATATGTTGGGGTGGGGGGGGAAAGGAGTAATCCCATCATTCCTATCAGCACTCACATTTGATGTCCAGTTGCTTCAGTTCATTCTGCATCTGACATATGAACAGCAAGAGTGGGGGGAGCAAAGTGATATGTTCTAGACCTTTGGACCACTTCTTGGTTCTTCCTCCCACCCTAAAAATCCTCCAGGCTGAGAGGGGGAAGATAGTTTACTTCTAAAATCCTGCTGACCAGGAATGCAACCCACCCACCCCTGCTACTCCTTCTCTACCCTAGCCCCGTAAGACCCATGTCTGTAGACTGAAGACTATGGGCCTGTTTCCTTCTGATCCCAATGGTCTGGCCACCTCACCCTTGGCAAGGACCAAACCAAGGATAATGAACCACAGAAGCAGCACCAAGGTCGTTGCCAGGCAACAAGACTTCCAGAGCTCATCCTGGGGCAGCTTTTTATTCTGCTGAGCAGTGGGCAATGGGTCTAGGATCTATATACACAGACTCACAAGGGTGCTATGATAGTCAAAGCTTCTAGGACTGGGGAGTGATGGGGTTGAATCACTCATCACTTTAGGGGTGAGATGGCAAATGACCATGAGAGTCCAGGAGGGGTCCTAAGGGTTATGAGGATCCTAAGCTTCCTCTACCCACTATGGGTCAAACTACTCAAGTGTACCTAGTACCCAGCACATGAGAGTGGATAAAGATACTTTACCCTGAGATTCTTGACTCACCTGATTACCTGGGCATGGGCAGAGATTCTCCCCCACTGGTGTGAGGTCTTGTGAAGCCTGCCACCCACTGTGCCTGCTCCATCACCAACATGCCATTCACCTCAGAGAAAAGTTACTCAAACTTCTAAACTTCCATTTCTTCATCTACAAGCTGGGTGTAATAACAGACTTTAGCTTCCAGGGTGGTTCTGGTGATTAATTGTGTTCATATGAACACAATATATGCCACTTACTATGCCACCAGAAAATCTGTGTGTTATTATAGGACATTCAACCTCAGGCTTGAGAGTCTGGACTCTGGACAATAGGAGAATTTTTGCCATTGAACTCTTTTAAGACAAGAGACACATACTGAGTCACTACTGTGTGTCCAGCACTGTTATTAGGCCCTGGGGACACAGAGGTGAATCACGTCCAGTCCCACATGCATAATCCCGCAGCCAAAGCACGATGTGAAAGGCTGTGATGGAGACATCTACTGGTCACTAAGGGAAAATGTGGAGGAAGAAATGTTCACCCAGGGAATGAAGTTTTTTTGTTTTTTTTTTAAAGCATGGATCATTCTTTTTTTTTTTTTTTTCTTAAATTTTATTTATTTATTTATTTATGGCTGTGTTGGGTCTTCGTTTCTGTGCGAGGGCTTTCTCTAGTTGCGGCAAGTGGGGGCCACTCTTCATCACGGTGCACGGGCCTCTGACTATCGCGGCCTCTCTTGTTGCAGAGCACAGGCTCCAGAAGCGCAGGCTCAGTAATCGTGGCTCACGGGCCTAGTTGCTCCGCGGCATGTGGGATCTTCCCAGAGCAGGGCTCGAACCCGTGTCCCCTGCATTGGCAGGTAGATTTTCAACCACTGCGCCACCAGGGAAGCCCGGGAATGAAGATGTTTGAAAACATGTGATTTCAGAGAGAAAAGTAAGAGAGTGGAGGGGGAGTTCACTTACTGAATATGTGCTAACTGGCAATATCTGTGCTCACACGTCGTTGCTAATTATCTCAGAAATCCAGGTTTCTGTCCCCAAAGCCTGCAACTTTGTCCTGCTACCCATGCTGAGTACTAGATCCTGCCTCAGAGCTCTGCTCCTATTCCCACTAAGCAGTAATGACAGAATCCACAAAAATATTTTTTCTCTTCCCCAGCCAGGGAGCAAGGCCAATGAGAGGGGCTCATAAAAACACCAGGAGGACTTGCACTCACCATTCAATCTCCTTAGGCTCACGGTTCCTGAGGAGCTCTCCCACCTCCTGCTGGCAGCGTTCCTGGTATTCTTGGTGCTTTACAAGGTTGTACAGGATCCAGGAGAGGCCACTGGCTGTGGTGTCATGGCCTGAAGAGCATCCAGAAAGGCTTGGATATCTGGGCTACTTCAGCACCAGAGGGTGGACAGCACCTTCACAGTAAGGCCCATGGGGAGGATGGGGAGGGATGGTGTGGTCCAGGGTCCACACACCAAGTCCCTGGGATGGAGAGACACATGTCTCCTCTGTAGTCCCACACTGGGACCCTCACCCTCAAACATGAAGGTGTCAGCTTCAGCTCGGATAGCTTCGTCTGACAATCCCTTCCCATCTTCATCCTGGAGAGAAAGCAAGATCCGCAGAATCACACTAGCACTGAGGGCCCCTGAGCCTAAACTGAGAAAATCTCTGAACCTCCATCATCCACCCAGAACCCCAAGCCTACCCTGAAATCCTAGACTTCCCTCTGTCACCAGAGGCCCCACCCCATATGTCTCCTCCTTGATCTCCTCGTCTCCTGTGTTTTCCCTGGTGAAAGGAATCAATGATCCATAAATATTTTCATGTTTCTTCATGATGAGGAATTTCTGAGAAAAAAGTTGCTGGCAACCTGGGTTACGGGATGATTGAATGGCAACTTGCCTTGGAAGCTAGAGATTGAGCATTGCCCCAAAGCCATTTGCTCACATGCTAGGATAGTAAATACAGAGATTCTTTATGTCTCCTGGAGATAAGGAATGGGTTATAAACCTATAGAACCTATAGACTTTGCCTTCTCACCAAAGAGGATTTGTTTAAGCTCCAGAACAATCTCTTTCTCCTCTTCTCTTCTCTTCTCTTTCTTTTCTCCTCTCCTCTCCTCTCCTCTCCTCCCTCCCCTCTCCTCTCCTCTCCTCTTCTCTTCCCTTCTCTACTCTCTCCCTATCTCTATCCCTATCCCTATCCCTATCCCTATCCCTATCCCTATCTCTATCCCTATCCCTATCCCTATCCCTATCCCTATCCCTATCCCTATCTCTATCCCTATCCCTATCCCTATCCCTATCCCTATCCCTATCCCTATCCCTATCCCTATTATCCATACAGAAGAATGGGCAGATATATCAGCTGTCCTGTATAAGTTCCAAATTTCAATATCTGGAGGTAATTCTCCTGTGATGCAACCATGGCTGCATGGACAGGTAAAAGCAGCATGGAGCCCTCAAAAGAATTTGGGAATGGGGAAAAAGAGCTAAATTCTACTCTGGCTACTGTTACTGCTGGGAGAAATAAATGTTCTGCTCTGATCCAGGGTTCTGTATGTATACTACAACAACAACACACACACACACGTAGGCTAACTTATTAACTTGGAAGTAGAGTAAAATCTCAGGCCTTCAAGTTTCAGACTCAGCCATCCCCTGCAGGGGGATTCCACACACTCACCTCTAAAACTTATCCCTGACCCATCCCTCCCTCAAGCACCTCACATGGCTCCCCAGTACCCTCTGCATCCCGTCCAAGCTCTTTGATCAAATCAAGGTCCATTCTCATACTTCTACTCAGATCTCAGAGGAGCCTACCTTGGTCAGCAGGAGCACATCAATGAAGTCCAAGGTCTTGGCCTTAGCCTTGGCCTTGAGGAAGTCATCAATGCTGACTGGGGAGGGTATGCCGTCACTCCCGGATAAGAGCATCTGTGAAGCCGTGAACCAGGCGGCAGGCCCTGCGGAAGCACCGCCCATCGGGGGTAAGGTAGTACAGGAGGTCTATGTGCAGGAAGATCCGCTGGTGCCGCTTTGCCACTAGGGCACTGAGCTCCAAGATGACAGCAATATATTCACTGGGCTTCCTGCAGGATGAGAGCATGAAGGAAGCCAACAACATAAAACACCTGAAACCCAGAGCCGGGAGCTACCTCCCTTCAGGAAACTGAGGCTCCAAGAACAGATGGCCCACAGACACAGTGTGGGGAGGAACCAGAACATGAGACTCTCCAGACTCTTCTCTCCTACATCCCATCTCTGTGAGCTGTCTCCATGCCCCAGGCACCCAGAGCACAGCTTAGATATCATGCTTCTCCCCTCTTGTCTCTCAGCCAGTACCTGCCCCTTCTCCTTCCCCAAATTGTCCACACGGCTCAGAACTTATCCTCTGCTAGCTGGTCAATGGCCCAGTCCCTTCTCTATTCTCCTCACATCCAATGTCAACACCGTCCACTGTCTACATTATGGTCATTTTTCTCTTGAGTCAGATGTCCAAGCTTAGCTTTGACCACGACCCTCATTCGATCAAACACCTTCCATGGCTCCCTGGAAACCTCGGAATAAAGTTAATATCTTCTTTGTCTGGCTTCAGAATGTCCTTAAGATATAACCCTGCCCACTCCTCCAAACTTATTTCCAAGGTGTCTCCTCACGCTTGCACACACTTTGATCGTTCTAGGCTCCTGGCCTTTATCAAACGGTTCTACCTACCTGAAATGATCACTCCTCTTTCCCTTTCCCTGTCCTTCAATATCGAGCTTTGACCCACCTCCTCCAGGAAGGCCCTCCTGATAGCCCTGGTCAATCTTCCCTCCCCCATCTACTCCCTTGGATCTATGGCTCATGTACCCAGGCCCTGGGCCAAGACTCACTCCTGGCAATTGCTGCCGAAACTGAAGACGCATTTCTGCAGACTGTCCAGGGTCATGAGGCTGATGTGTTCAAACATGTCCATATGAGTGCTGCCCTCTGTGACCAGGTGCTGCCACTTGGCTTGGACAGAGAAGGGGACAGGGTTAGGACTGGGAATTGCCTCCTCTGAGCCCCTACCCAATCCCAACCACCTGATGGGCTCCCCCAGACCCTGCCTCTTGGCCCCAGGCAGCCATCCCCAGGGAAGACCAGGCTTGGGTAGGAGTAAAAGTTGTTACTGTTAGGACATGAAGTCCCCATGGCTCGGAGTTAGGAGATGTGGGTTTTTGATCTTGGCTCTTCCTTCTACACTCTGTGTATCCTTGGTAAAGTTAATGAATAAAGTAAGTGCACAACAAATGTTAGCTTTCATCATCATCAATTTTATAAATTAATTAGGAAAATATCCCCTATATTGAGAGAGGTTGTTTTCCATGCGCCCTGAGCACCCCTACCCTTTAATGCTGGGTATGCCAAAAAAAAATTGCAAGACTCCTATGTTCTTTACCTGGGCCATTTCTCAGAGTTGTATTTGTAGAAAACAACCTTGAGGAGTGAGGTTGTGTCTCCCCTTGGACAAATATCAAGCTCGCTTCTAATCACTATAAAAGTCACAGAGTCCCTAAACCTATACTCCTCCCTGCTATAATACAACATGCTACATGACTGGCATCTATAGAAGCCCACCTGCGTCATCCGCATGGGATTTGGTGACTTGGAGGAAGAATGCAAACCAACAAGAAGCACATGCTCTTTGTTGTGCTGAGGGTAATAAACTGTCCTTGGTTTCTGACCCAGGAGTCTCACGTCTTCTGGCCAAATCGATGAATCAGTAACAAGCTCACTTGCAGCTCCCAAGTATGAAAAAAATCCCAACCTTCACTGTGTGTGTGTGTGTGTGTGTGTGTGTGTGTGTGTGTGTGTTTACTTACCACTGGTATCCATTCATTTCCCAGGCCAGTTCATTCCCTGGAACCACTGTCTTGGGCAGTGGCCTTCCCCACCCGAGGCTATGACCCCCAGCCCCTTGACCCCCAGCTTGGCACCTTCTGTCAAGAGCCGCTTATCCCATACAACTTCCTCTGCCCTCCTCCTGGGAGGCCTTTTTCCCTGGCTCGACCTCTGAACTAGGGGAGGCTGGACTTAGCTGAGTCAGCCAATTCCCACAGCCTCTTTACCTCCTCCCCACCTGGCAGCTGTCCAAATAGATGGTGAGAGGAAGGGAGCTAGACTGTTATTGAGAGAGGACTGTAAACCAGCTCAGGGTCACAGTGTGAAAATTAGATCCTCAGGGCTCAGCACCTCCCATGTTAACAAGTTAGGGGGTGGGCAAAGGTGACTCCAGATGCCAAGTTCACAGCCAGCCCTGCCCTTCCAAGGCCAGGGTACCGCAGGTAAAAGCATGAACATTCAGGTGCCAGGTGAGCAGGGCACACATCTCCGGTGCTCATTTCCACATGTGGGCCAGGAGGACGTCATACACCATTTCTTGTCATAGAATCAAGAAAAGCTCAGAACCATGAAGCCTCTGGCCTCTGGGGCACACAGCCTGGCAGGAGTTCAAGCCGTGCCTCCAAGCAACCGAAAGCCTGGATTGAGACATGACTGCTGGGAGCAGAAACAGAGAATCCAGCCTGGCTGGGGGTTACCTGCATCAGCTTCAGGGGATAAAGGGCCCAATCGGAAGAGGGCACCTGCAGACATGAGGGGTAAGGCTGTGAGGGGCTGAGAGAACAGGGTCCACACAGGGAAGAGCAGAGCTGGGAGACCCTGAGTGGGCAACCTCACTGCGACTGTGGGCTGTCCCGACCCTCTCTGGGCTCAGTCTTCCTATCTGGGAAATGGGACCTCAGATGAAATCCTGAGAGGTGGACAGCGGAGGATTGCATGGAAAGATGGGAAGAATCAGGAGCCCCAAAAAAGATGGAGTGAAGGAAAAGGGCTGGCAACTAGTATTCTTGCTATTGTATGCCAGTACTCCACATAAAGTAAACCTAGTCTGTGCAGACAACTGTATGTAAAGAGGGCCTACTGTGTGCTTGGTACCTCAGAAAAACATGCCCCCAGTGTGTCAGAAACTCTACATAAATTGTGCTACTATGTTCTAGGTATGCTACAGAAAGTGCGTCTACTGTGTGCCAAGTACTCTGCATAAATCTTGTCTACTTTATGCCAGATGTTCTACATAAACCACACCTACTATGTGCCAGGAACCCTATGTAAAGCGTACCTACTATGTGCTGGGTACTCTATGTAAAATGCACCTACTGTGTGCTGGATTCTCTATGTAAAGTATGCCTACTCTGTGCCAGGTGCCCTACATAAAGCACACCTACTGTGTGTCAGGTACTCTACATAAAGTAATCCTACTCTGTGAGAAGTAACTTTACATAAAGCATGCCTACTATATGCCAGGTCCTCTACATAAAGTGTAACCACTATACATTGGGTACTATACAAAAATCCTGTCTCCTGTATCCCAGGTGTTCAACATAAAGCATGCCTACTGAGTGCCCAACGTACTACACAAAGAGCATCTACTATGACCTGGGTGCTACATGAAGCATTTCTACTGTGTGCCAGATATTGTACATAGAATACTCTGTGTGCCGGGTGCTCTACATAAAGTAATCCACTGTGTGCCAGATGTTCTGCCAGCAAGATAATATATCACCCTCCCCTCGGTGCCCTGGGCCAGAACCCTGGGATCAGGCAGAGAGGTGCAAGTGATAGCAAGAGGGAAGATACCTATTTAGCAGAAGAGCAAACTGAGGCTCAAAGAGAACAAGCCTCTAATCTAAGTTTCAGAGCTGGAAGGTACCCAGGTCTGTCATACCACCAAGCCTAAGCCTTTTCCCTCTGCCATGCCGCTCCACCCCCAACCATAAGGGGCAATGCCCTGTTAATCCAGGGACATTTATAATGGTGGAATCTCAGGCAATATGGTGACCCCAGTGGGGAGATTCCTTGAGGTCCTTGTATCATCACATGGATCATCTTCCCACATCCAGGATGCACCACCCAATGGATCTAGAGCTCCCTTCCTGGCCCTCTCTGGATCCTGTCCAGAACTGCCCTGTGGGGTGGTCTCAGGTGACAGAGAACTTGAAGGATGGGGCTCCTGGCAAAGCTACTGAGCAGGAGAGTGGGGGAAGGACAGTCTTCCTGACACTGGTAGGATGCTGGGGAGACCCCGAAACTCCTTCCACCTCGATACTGGCTGGGGGATTCAGGTGGAGGATCCTAAAGCCCTCAGTGTGGTGGGGTGCACCCTCCCCCTAGAATCTCGTCCCCCTTCGCAGGGGTAGACTTTGCCTCCTGGCAGGTCCATTTCACATCAGGGTCAGGCAGGCAACGCCATAATATAATAAATCAGGCAGAGTTCTGGGACACAGAGGAGAAAGAGTCCCAGTGCCCAGAGAGGTTCAGCTCACTTCAGACCTACTGTGTGCCGGGAACAGGCAGGCAGGCAGCCTAGAGCAGGAACAGCAACCACCGCACCCGCATTTGCCAACATAAGTCACTAAGCTGTTTTAAGTCTTTAAAGTATATGAACATTTTTTTTTCATTTTACAGATGAGAAACTGAGACTGAAAACTACACGAGTGAATCACCCAGAGTCACACAGGTGATGGAAACGGGCTGTGCCCCAGACTTCACACTGGGTAACCTGAACCATGAAGCTCTCCTTTCATATCTGTAAATGGGCATTTCATTAGCACCACCTCCTAAGATGGTGGGAATCATTAAAAGAGACAATGCATGGAAAACACATAAGACAGAGGAAGGGCTCAATAAATGCAAGTCATTGTTATTGTTGCTGTTGTTGTCTCGTTGATGTAATTATCCAACAGCCCTGCAAGATCAATTTCATGAGCCCATTTTTACAGAAGAAGAGCCGGAGATTCAGAGAGGTGAAGCAACTTGCTCCAGCCTCCCGACAAATTAGGTAAATATGACAGTAAAAGTGACAGCAAAGCCTGGCACATAGTACGTGCTCATTAAATATCTGGGGAAGACAGAAAGGTTTGCAGCAGGGGGTTTTAAGGTTCTGGTGCTAATATTGTGTTCCTCAAACCTCTACCATCCCACCATCTGCATCACCTGACAGTTTGCAGTAAATGCAGAATCTCACATCCTCACCCAAAATACTGACTCAGAATTGCATCTAAACAGGTCTGCCGGGGAACTGTGTGCACTTCTTCAAGTTTTAGGAAGTGTTGCTTTAAGACTCCTGAGCCTGGATTCTGCAAAGGAGGCAGGGAGCACAATGCCTTCACCCCTCTAATTCTCAGAGGGTTTTTTCGGTGAAAAAATAAAGAGAAAAATCTCTACCTTCCAGAGCTGTTCATACATACAACCATGATTACTGATCATTTATTATGTACTGGACACTATTTTAGGCACTAGGAATGCAGTAGTGAGCACTGCAGACCTCTTCCTGCTGTCAAGGGGCTTACATCTTGTGAGGAGATGGGTGGTGATCGATAAATAATCAATGACTTGTCAGACAGTGGTGAGTTATGTGCCTGGAGAACATCCTACCTTAGTCCAGGGGTCAGGGTGGGCAAAGACCTGAATGAGGAGGGAGAGTCTCCAAGAACAGACACTGGGTGGAACACCCAGGCTACACAGAAAGACGAGTGGTTTTTGACCCTGGGGCTAACATGCGAGATCATGCAATTGCTCCTTGGGGAGGCCAAAGTGGCCAGCAAATTCTGGCCCCATATGGAAGCTATAAGCGGGTTTGGAGCTTTCACTAACTGTGACCAGATACTCAAACCCTAGCAGGTCTCTGCAGCCATTACTAGGGCAGGGTCTACCTCTGATTCCTAGATCAGGTGGTAGTGATAGGGACAGAGTAGGTTAGTTGCACAGCTAGTTTAGAAATCCTACTAGGGGAAGATAGATAGAGAAGGACTTCGGGAGATCACCGTAAGTTAGACATCAACCTGGAAATGCCCAGAACATCTGGTAGCTAAACAACAAGTGTAACACTTTAAAACTAAACAGACTTACTTAGGTCACTAATCTATATGATTAGGAACGCGGTGTACCACAGAACAATGGTAACAAGACTGCATTCGGCCTTGTGAGGTCTGAAAGACAATGGACCCTGAAAAACTGCTCTCTTGCACATAGCTTACATAGGAATATGGGGAAAAGGTGAAAGAAACTAGGGGAAAGGTGACATTTTACTGAAACCTGAGATGACTCACCATAAATTTGTGTATGTTGCCACCCTTCTGCTCATTTACATAGCTCTATGACAGTCCCAGTTGGGCCATATAGGGTCAAAAACTTCCCCACCCGATATGTAGGAGGAGTTAATGATGAAAGCTTGATGTCTACTCAAAAAATGAGGAAGAAGGTGGTCTTCTCCCCATCCCCACTTTTCTTTCATTTATAAAAATAAAGCCTACTTAGTTGTCGGGACAGTTGCCTCTCACTGAATTCTTTCTGCACCGAGACAAAAGAACCTATGTTTCAGTAAGTCCTGACACAGGTGTGTGGTTTCATTAGAAGGGGAAAGGGAACCAACACTGGAGGCAGGAAACCATAGGTGGAGACCTTCTGTTCATCACTGGGGATGTTCTAGAGCATCCCCAAAGGTTTTTCATCAAACAAGTAATATCTCAGATGCCAAATCACACAAGCCTGCCTTATGGAATGTCCCCCGGCCAGTGTTGGAAGGAGGGGAGCCACTCACCCCCTGCCCCTTCTCCAGGGGTCCTTCCACCCCAACCCAGAGTCAGGCAGTGGGCAAGCCTGTGCCAGACCAGCGACGGTGGTCACTGTGAGTCACTAGCTTGGGCACAGCCCATCAACCCTTTAAACCTCACTCTTCATGTCTGTCAAATGGGCCTGATAAAACCTCACAGAGAGTTGCAAGTGTCCTATTAGACACAGGCAGAGAGAGTAGGGAAAAGTATGTATATTTCAAAATAGTATGTGCATAAAGTTTGCATTTATAAACAAAACTTACAAATGTTTGTATGTGTGCACATGTTTGTATATGCATTGAAAAAAAATCCAGAAGAATCCACATGTCATGGTGGAATTGGAGGAAGCAGAATTGGAGTCTCTATGACTAAAACACAATTTAAGAAATAAGGATTTGGCACAGTGAGGAACACATAACTGGCACACAAAACAGATGAGCAGTTATTTTGTGTCATCATAAAGACACGCCTCCCAGGAATCCACGTGGGGTCTCTAGAACAAGCATGCAGGCTGGAGTTTTACCTTTCCTTTCCTCAGCTGTTAGGAAGGAACAAGTTCTGGATTCAGCAGAACTAAGTTCAAATCCCAGCTCTGCCATTTCCTGGCTGTGTCACCTTGGGCAAGTCAATTGCCCTCTCTAAGCCTCATGTCCCCCTCTGTAAATGGAGAGGTGGATTTATACCTCCCAGGTAGTTCATTACTCAACAACAAACTGTGCTTGACCACCCAATCTGTACCAGGCACACTGCTGGGGCCCCAAACACGAGATGAACAAGACAGACAAGGTCTCTGGATTGTGTGCTCATGTCTCATGGGCGAAGCCAATTGGAAATAAGCAAGTCAGATGGTGGCAGAAATGAAGGAAATGAACAGCGTGAGACATGCTAGAAAGTGACCAAGGGGGCTGTTCTGGACAGGGCAATCAGGGCGGGCCTCCCTGAGGAGGTGGCCTTACTACCGAGTCCAAGCTCATACTGCTT